TTACTAGTTTTTTATGCTTAGTTACTGACGACTCATTTTCCATACGAGATTTCCTTTCTCATTCAAAGCAAACAGAAGGCGTTCACTGTCTCCTCACAAACAAAACGATATATTTTTGTTACCAAGTGTGAAGCTAGGACGGTTTTTGGCATCCCTATAGCTATAAAAGTCCTCAACCTTCTGAGTGGACAAAAAAACAGATTTCCCCATTTGGTCAAACCAAACAAAGCTAAGAATTGATTTGCTAGAAAGGCGATACCACGCGATGTATTTAATCGCTGCGGCGAAGTTGATGGTATTATTAATAAGTTTTCCTCTTCAAACGTAGACTTGGTCGGTGATGACTAATGTGAAAAATATATATTTAATAACTAAGAGATAAAAGCATTCGTTTTTGTTTTTTAACATTTTTATGTATGAAAATAATAAAGAAAGTTTTTTAATAGCGAAAATTTCAAGATGATGTGATATTATATAAAACTACTTTTTAGAAAACAAAGTCTAAGGCAGATGGTGTGAGGATTGTTTGTAAAATAACCCATTATTATTATTATTTTTATATTTTCTACGCATACATAATACCATAAATACTATCGAGTTTATTTAGATTAGTACGCGTTGGAGTCTTTAGGAGCTCATTCATTTCATTCATCATTTTCACGTTGAGTGGTGTCGAGGCTAACTGAAGGGGATTATTAATTATTCATTATAATGTGCTAACGGGTGTCACTTGACGCATCACAGCGACGAAAGCCCCCTATACACGGCAATCACATATTGTGCACACATTGATGGCGAAGCGCATTGGCATTGGTGCGTCCTCACGAGAAGGTTCTAAACTCAGTTCAAGCCAATGACAAGACTTTCACTTCTACGCCCCGTTTTTTTTTCCTTACTAGTTAGCAATAGGAATATTTGTCGACATTTAAGACAAGATATGCCTAAATTTCTCTCTCTTTTCTTCTATTTACAGTTGTTATGAAATTTTTAAACAATATGTGTGTATAACTATTAAATATTCAAACACACGTAGCACAGTGGTACGTAAAACATTCGTTTTTTTTTATTTATTTAATCTAATTGTCTGTGAAATGTTTTTTCATTTCATTAAAAAGCAAAAAAATATGAAAAACCACAAGTATTTTAAGAAACTGTTTAAGGCCTTTTATAAAATTAATTTGAACGTGTAATGAAGTTGTGGTTTACTATGTTTGCAGTGAATTAGAAAGAGTGAACAATGGTAGAACAAAAAGAGCCCTTTCTAGTAAAGAGCCCCCTAGTAAAAAATAGTGAAAATCGTATGCTTTGGCATTTGAAAGAAACAATAGACGGCAAAGAATAAAGAAAAATATTTAATTTAAGATTACACCTTGTCCCCGATCTACACGACAGATATGACAACAAGTGAAAATGGGTTTCAGGCAAATTTTCCCTAGAAAGGCTACTACACTATATTATACCATAACTAACCATAACTAATATTGGATGCTTGCATGTATTTTGATCAGCGACATCCATTGGTTAAAATGATGAGGTAAAGCAAAGTACGTTCAGACGAAAAGATTATTTAAATTTGTGTTATCCAAGAATTTCTTCGTGTCGGGCACGTTGCTTCTAACCAAGATCGCTGAATCGAGCTCCTCCTCACCAGGGCTATTGTTAACTAAATCATTTTGTTTTTGCTGTGCAACAGCTAAACGATTTCGCTCTCCTTGTCCCATATGGCTTAAGAGAGCATAACTCAAAAAATTATTTCGCCATTGCTGCTAAGGCGTTGTATGTCGTGCGAATTTTCTCAAAACGGCAGACAAAAAAAAAATAAAATAATTTTCTGAAAACTATTGTTAAACAGTAATTACTGAGCCAAATAGAAGTAACGGTTAATTTTATGAAAAATTTATAAATGTCATGCAATCCTAAAAAACAAAGCTACATATAGAGCGGACAAAAAAATGCAAATAAAAAAATGTAAGAAAGAGAATGCGATTATCGAAACAGATCGTTCGAATCGAAGCATTCCATCTTGTATTAAAGTTTAAAATCATAAAAAAGCACGGAACGTCAATCCGTATTTCATTGAATGTATTCAATTCTATAAAAATTTCATTGTATTTTATTTATATACATATACATCCCTAATGGTTTCTAGTAATGAAATCAATAAATGAATAGCATAATAACGATCATAACAAAAACAGAAAGCACACACAAGTGACATTACGACTGGAAGAACGTACAAAAAATTATCGGAAAACCATTCATAATTTACAATTTCAATTCGTTTTCCACATATCTACAATTCTTAAAATTGGTGAATAGAAGCTTTACATATAAAAAAAGAAAAGAAAAATGTTGTGTAAATCGAGTGATACGTACGCCTTCGTATAATAAATAGTTAGTGAATAAAACCTGTTAACGATCATGCAATGAATTTTTTTCGCTCTTCAGCTAGGGTTTGCAAGGGAACATCTTGTGTCTGTCAGATGTCAATCAGATCAAGGATTGTTTCTCTGCCAAAGGATTGTAAAGAATAGACCTTCAAAGGTACAGCCATCGATAAGGCGTGAGGAAAATCCAAAAAGAATGAGCTTCAAATATTTTCAAAGAAGACTCTCACCATTGGAACGATCATTTGTTTTTTTTTTTTTTTTAAATCATATGTCAAGCCGCGATATGCATGGGTGTGGATTTGTCCATCTACAAAGAAAGCAGTAAAAATCGAGAAAGCTTTCGAGAATTTTCGGGAATATTTAAAAAGGGGAAGAAAAAAAATTTTAGAAATATAGAAAATATACTTTATTTAACAACTCGTGAGATCACTGAGAATTTAAATCTATTGAAATATTTATACCCTATGAGAAGATCGACTTTTACTCTGGCCAAAAAAAACGAAATTTCTTTCCGAAACGGTCTGTAATTCTTTATTATTTAGTTGATTCCTATCGTTCCTCCTTTCTATCGGCGAGAGTGCAATTTTTTCAAATTTTTCCCAACATCTACAATTCTATGAGAACATGAGTGGGAAAAAACCGTAAATAAAAAAAAGAGAGAAATCTGAACATTCACTTATGGTGTTTTTAAAAGAAAAAATTGCTGTTTGTATAAAATATGTTGTGCTCACTACAGATTTGTAAAATTTTGAAATGTGATCCAAAGCCTCTATTAGACCTACGTATATGTGTTGATCGTTTCTCTGCTGAGAACTGGACTGTTCACGAGACAAATGACAACAAGGCTAGGAAAGATAACACGAACTTACAAATCGAAAATTCCGTCTCTCTTCCATTCCATTCATATTCACATATACCAGGGATGAGTATAATATACCCAAGAGTCGCATATCTGTCGGACAACAAATTTTTATTCGTTTTTTTGCTTTGTACTATAGCGTAGTTTTTTCCCTTTAAATATTATGTTACTCTGGATGTAAATCCTAAAGGCAAGGAAGCAAATGTAAAATTGCAAATGCCTTATTTTACAGGCACCAAACACATTGGGAAGTAGCTTTAGCGCTATTTCCCTTTCTCTCGCTAGTGGCTTTGGAGGCATTCTAATAGATGCCTATATAGATCTAATTTATATATACACACGAAATAGCGAAAGGAGATTCGGGAAAATAGATTGTAAGACTAAAATCTTAAGCACTAGCATATCTGAAGCTATCGGCTTCATTGAGTTGTTCATCCTTGAGATACTTTGCCTACTCAGCTAAATTTCAATCTAAAAAAATATCCATTTTTACAAGTTCAACCAAAACTACCGTACTTTTCGTATGATAAGACGCACCGGACTATAAGATGGACTTCAAATTTATAAGATGACTGTTTGAAAAATATATTTTAATGTTTCTTTCGGATCAAAATTTTTATATATTATTAATATAACTCCTACTACTTATACTCGGTTTATTTTCACTTTGGTACGATCACTCGTCTCCTTAATGTCTCCGTTCGTACTTTCGGACCATAGAACGCTCCCAAAATTTTAGCCCACCTTTCTATGTAAAAAGGGGTGTCTCATAGTCCGAAAAATATGGTACCTATCTTTAGAGAATGAATGCGATCCCGTCTCGCAGGTTAACGCTACTGTGTATGCCCCATGCCATGCCAAGCGAATTGAATTTTACATCTTACACCGTCAGGGGGCAGTGCAGTATATGAGTCAATCAATAGACTCAGTCATTCAGTAAATTATTGATTGAAAAATGTGACGTTAGTAATTGAAAGAAGAAAAACACGAAGAGCTAAAGTAGCGGTATTTCAAGTTTCGTTTCAAGTCGTCCTTATAAATTATTTTAATGAATTTTTGTTTATATTTTCAGTTTCACTTGTTTATTTGTTTGGCGAATAAATGAAATTTCGATGGGAAAAAAGCGACACATAAGCGCAAAATCATCATTTCAGTCTGTAGAGGGTAGAAGGTTCTCCTCGCAGCCATAAACTGTTTGCGAATTCCATGATAATCATTTTTAGTGGAATTTCATTTCATTTTGTTTGCTTGTTTGTTTGTACCATTCATTTGCTAGGAAAAAATTTACATTTTCAATTGATTTTTATTATTATTTCTTTTTTTTTGTTTTTTTTTTTTCTGAAAAAAAAAGGAAAAAAAATAGCAATTTTCTTTATATGTATGTGTGGGGATAAGTGGACAATATTGTATGGAACGATTTATGGGAATTTCTCACATACTCGCAATACCTAATTCGTATATACATATGTATGATTACATCTACATAAACAACCGCTTGTTTGTTTCAATTTTTTTTTTTTTTGTTTTTTTGGTATTTACAATGAATTTCATCATCATTATTTTTTGCTTTTCCTCCTTTTTTTGTTTATTTCTTATAAATACGATAATTGTTTGCTTTATTTCTAATTTACGACGCAATTCTCGTGCATACTCAGTTTGATGGATGTAAAAAAAAGATGTAAAAAAACAAAATGATAAATTTTACATACATATGCTTTTTTACACAACGTTATTTTATAACGATAACTTACGCTAACTTTAAATAGTTGAAGTTTTCTTCCTTTCCTTTGGTTTTTTTTTTTCTTTTTTATTATTCACATTTTTCATCATCTTTTATTGTCTTCACAAAGAAAAAAAAATTATTTTTTTAATTATTATTATATTTATCATTATTTATTTATTTTTTTTTTTGATTTTTTCTGAGAACTTTTCTGTTAATTTAATTTAAAACAAAATATGCGTATTGTTGTTCCCCTTCTCAGGCGAGTAATGTTTTTATGTTTTTCTTTTTTTTTGTTGTTCGCTTGTCATCATTTTTTTTTCCACTTTTCACTTTTTTCCGTTTTTCTTCTTGTTTGTAATTGCATTTAATGTTTTTTTATTTTATGTGTTTTATCAACAATTTCAACTTTAAAGTTTTTTTTTTTAAATTTATTTTCTATTTTTTCGAAATGCCGCTATATCCGTTTAGTATGATCGCACAAAAGTTTCAGTTCTCAAATGCCACTGTCATCATCAGCAGACCATATGGAAAGTTCAATTTTTTTTTCGTTTTTTTTTTATTTCAGTTTAGTTCTCTACCTTCGTTATACAATATAAAATAATGACAGCGCGACAGCGTTTCGTTTAGAATCGTTTCCACTGGCGAACAAAAACATATATATATATATGTCAAAACACTCATTCATCCTCTCACTCACTCACTCGCATTCAGTCGATGTTTAACATACAACCGTTATTATTAGTAAAAACAAAATAAATAAATAAATAAATAATAGTAACAATAATAAGCAGCCGTGGGAGAGGGAAAAGAAGAAAATGAAGAAATTAACGCGTTTTAATAGTGTTTTTGGCCAAGAAGAAATTTTATATATAAAAATATTTCCTTTACTGACTTCTCTTCTTTATCGTGGTACTTTTTAAACCAAAGATTTTCATCGCAATAGCAAGAATTATCATAGTAATATTAAAGAAAAACAAGAAGAAGAATAAGTAGAAGAAGAGGGAAAATGAAGAGAAGCAGAGAAATAGAAATTGAAAGGCAAGCAGCAAGAAAGAATTGATAACTTGATAACTCTGATTGCCTGTCTTATCTTTCGGGTTTTTGACAATTTCAGAAATTGAGATAGAAAGCTCGTCTTAGATCGTTGATCGTCTTGTAAACGACGAAAACAGAAAATATTTTTTCAAGATCTTATACATCGTTGTGTTGATGAGAGCCGCCAACATTAATTTATAAGTATACGTAACAACCCTAATGCCCACAGAAGAGCTAAATTTGAAGCTTTAGTTTAAGCCATATCAGTACGTTTTGATAGACGAAATGGAAGCTCGTAGTCTCGATTTGCTTTCAAATATCTTGTAAGATCGATTCCTAAAATGGCAGAACCGTGAGTTACAAATTAAGACAAGGTCTTAACATTTTTAATCTTGAGAATAATTCTCTGCACCTCTCTGGTCTATTAAAAATTTTAGAAACTAATTTAAAAAAGCATAATAAATGTCCACGGAAAGGCCTCCCTCCTAATCTTCTAAAGGGCTGCGCAATCTTTATTTACTAAGTAGTTTGAAAATTTGAAAGGAAACTGCAGCTAGTCGGGAAAATATCACACAAGTCGTGTTGATCGAAGTTTTCCACCCCTTGTTAGAAAATTTTGCTTGAGATAATAACAGTCGAATTTGCCCTTTAAGAGTCCAATATATATAATATATTGAAGCTTAAAAGCAAATAAAAAGCTATGACCCAACTCTTCTTATTGCTGAATCCACCTACAAAACACGTCTATTTAAAAACCAGTGAAAACTCTTAACTGGACGGTGGCCCATCATTAAATACCCTAAACCGCTTCATTTCGTACAGTTACACTTCTGGCGACTTTTTAAAATACATGGCGCGTGGTCCAGGCCGATTTCATTATTGTTCATCCTTTCGCCAGAACGTGTCGGTGTAGGTTAAACAATCTTATGTTCTAATCTAATTAAGACAGAAAGACGAACACACACACACACACACACACATCTAGTTCAGTTCAGAAAATGATTCCAAGTCGATCGGTATAATCAATCGGCATCCCCGCAAGTCTTCCTTCCTTCCTAGGTATCACATATGTCCACACAAATTTAATATACCCTTGTACCTTGCACAAGGATGGCGGGTGTAGGGTGTAGGGTGTAAATGTCACACTTTTATGAAGCAACAATCAGTGTTAAAATACTTTTTCTCCAGCGCATTATTGTTCAACAAGAACTCTATATATATATCGTCTTAATCTTATATAATTTTTCCTTACAAATTATAATGAAATGAAAAAATCTCTGTTCCGCTTAGTATCTATATCTATATAAATATATAAATATATTTCAGTTGTCTATAACAGAAACGTAAGAAGTTATTTCTTTAATCAGAATTGATTTTTAACCATATCTCTGACCTAAACAATTTCCAATTTTCTCTGGTTTACATTTGACGAACATACAAACAAATAAACAAAGCTACCCATCAGCCACCAGCCTATACAACACAAACCGCACAATACATTCTCTCAGACTAATATTCGTTCCCCCTTTAAATCATCATTTATTTTAACTACATTACTACTAACACTATCAAATGTAAAATATAATAAATATGTAATGCGCGCCGTAACTAACTATTTGCGTTACTCGAAATGTTTTTTCTCTCTTCTTTCATCATTTTAAGATAGTTTTCTCTTTTCTATTCCTCTCAGTCAAGTAGTTTGTTTATATACGTTTTACTTTTGCTTTCTTTCTTTGCCTCTTACACATACACATTTATTAACTGCTGTTCTGCTAACCCAGACTTCAAACCTTTCGATGTAAAGCAATACGGAACAGAAAAAAAACGAAAAAAACCTGCTGAAAAAAATTATTATATATAAAGAGCGTAAGAAGGAAAAAAAAAGAAAAAAATATCAATTCATTTGACGTAAGCACAGTGGGTCTTCGACTGAACAAGTGCGTTCAGGTATTCCATTTTCGCCGTTTTCTTATTTACAATTTAAAATTATATATTATATCACATATATTAAGCCTATCACAGTAGTATGCACAGACTTTTTCTCTTCCTAGACGCGTTATTTTCCAATTTGAGACCTAAAACATCTTCATACCGTCTGTCTCCGAGTGCTTCTGGAGTGAGAACGAGAAAAGGTAAGATAGTTTCCCCGTCATAATTGTACCGTTCAGGCACCTTTCAGTAAGTAATACTTTATTACACAGTAATCCTTTGTTAATTGCGTTTAATTCCTTTCCTTCGTTTTTTTTTTTAATATTGTTATATAAATAATTTTTGTTTAACATTTAATTTTGAGATTGTTTCCAATCCTCCTCGACTCCAGTTCGTTACACTTTACTTTACATCTGAGTAAGTGTTGTGGAAATTTATCCCGTCTCGTTAGGAGTGATTTTTTAATTGCGTTTTTTTCATAATTTTCAAAACTTTTCATTTCGGAATAATTGTTGAGGCCTCTTGTGGCTTGGAAAATGCAAGTTGTTTAAAATTCCGTGATAACGATTAGATGTAAATTCTATATTTGAGATGTTTTGAAGCAAAAGCAACTGTTTTACGAAAATGACAAGCTTTACGTTTCCCACGATTACACGTAACTTGAGTGCTCCAAGGAACGTTTTCGTTTCTCCAAGAAACACTTACTATAATCCAATAAACGATTACTTTAGGTAAGAAAACGGCCTATTTTTAATAAAATCTAAAATCTTATTTTTCTATATCAATTTTGCGAGTTCAATAGTCTTTGCAGAATGCATTACATTTGTGAGAATAACAAAATACTGTCTCCAATAAATAGTCTGAGATGCGAGATGAAGATGGATTTATAATTTCATTCGAGCTTTCCCAGCAGTAAAACTGAACTACTAATATCATCGTAAAACTTGTCTTCCAAATTGCACTGCGGAAAAAAAGAATTCTCAGACGTAGCTTAAGGACTGAGTTAAGATGGTAATAAGAAAAGAGAAAGAAGTAAATTTTATCAAAAAAGAGGAAGAAAAAAAAGAACAAAGCGAAAATCGTATCGAAAACGGATATGTACAGATATTTTCCGGTGTGATAAAAAAAAAAAAAACTACACAGTGTATGCAACTAAAGTGATATCGCATTCGCGAAGAAAGAAAAGAAAAAAGAACAAGAAGACGATTTTACCTTGAATTAATTTAACTGAGACATCATACATAACTGAATCAAACAATGACTGCTGATTACAAATCATTTGATTGAAAGTCTTTTTCTTTCCCTCTCTTTTTTCGTTAATTTTTTTTTACCACAACTTTTCTGTATCGATCTTTTTTTCTTTCTTTTCTTTTCTTTTTCGGCACAAAGAGTATAAATTTAATACAAAAAAAATACATACTTTTTAAATGATTTTCCAGTTATTGTCTCTCGCACACAAAACAAGCACAAATACACACAGATACAAGAGTATAAATTAATTTTCAATGAAATTAGATTTTCAGTTTTAATTAAATTTTAATTAAATTTTTTACCATCCAACGTTACTGTACTGCTCTCGTATGAACGTATATAGAAAAGAGAATAACAAAAAAAAAAAAAAAAAAAACACAAAAAAATCGAAAAACAGCAGAAAAAATTTACATGCATTCAAGATATAACTTCTTTTTTTCTTTTTTTATTAACTTATTTCCTTTTTTATCTTTTTTCTGCTTTCATATGAAACTACTAAGCAAGATTCTTGGTTTTATAGTACAAGTTTTATTTTATCGTTTTCGTTCTTTTAGAAAATTACTAAACAAACGTCTATTACTTATAAATATTGTATGACGATGCACACAGTATTGGGCTTAGGATAGTTGCTTACAGTTTGCTCGTTGCGTTTTCAATGCCAACTAGGAGCTCAGCAAACGTCAAGCTAACCGATTTTGTATATATTGTATTCATATATGTATAACAGATCAACTGAACAAATTCAAACAGTCAACCAGGCAGCGAATCAACCAACCGAGCAACTAACCAAACGCCCAACTATCCAGTCGATAGTTTTAATTTTTCGTTTCTTTTTTCTCTTTACCATCAAGTTCAAAGCTGCCATAGCACAAACACATAGATATGTGTATACAAGGAAACTAAAACACTAGCAGAGCCTTAGGATGAAGAACTTTAAGCGGTATAGTGGTGAAGGGGCAGTTAGTTAGGAATAAATGCATGCTTTTGCTGCACATCAGAGACAGGCTGATTGACTCTTCTCTCTCGCATTCCCATACACATATATGCATTTAAATATATCTCCCTATATATACATATATACTTATATATATAATATTAGTATATACATGCAATGTAATTGTGTTTGTAAAATACACAAAAATATTTGCTCGGTTTTTGTGTTACTGCTCTTGATTTAGTTATTTAATTGTGTATAGAAACAAGACCTACCAACCGAGAAACCGAGCGACCCAAAGCGCAGCTCAAGTTCAAGGATGTTATGTAATAACGCATACAGCATGCAATAACACAAAAAAGTGCGCAAACACACGTTACATTTGCGGCTCGTACCAAAAAACTTAAATTGGACCTCATTGTGAGTTGTTGCCTGAATAGCGTACACTACACACAGTAAATAGAAAAAAAAAAAAGGAAAAGTTTGAAGCACAAAGCACTCGCATCAGATTAACCCAACCTATTTTGCGCTTAGTATCGAAAACATTAGCCTGCTTGCACACATTTACAACGCATTGAAATTTAAGATTTTTTCATTTTTTCCTTTTGCACAGTGTGGCTTCAATGTCACTTTCCTCGCGTTTCGTGTCAGTTTTAAGTTTATTGCATCGGTTGAGCGCATCTCACCAGTACGCGACTTGCTTGACTTCCATATGTTTGTTCTCCGCCTTTTCGGTTTTATTCTGTAGTTATTAAGCCACTAATTCTAAGCGTATATAGAAGTTTATATACTTATTTTTATTTATATTATATGTAGAAATGTTTAATTCTCTTGTTTATTTACCTCACATCAATATATTGCGTTGTACATGATTAGATAGTCGTGTGTACCTAACACACCATATGAATATGTATATATATACCATATGTATACTAGTGTATCTTATATAAAGCTATATATAGATATAAAGTTGTACTCTTTTAACTAAATATGTGCACATATTAAGCATTTTCCTGTACACGTTTCTAGTTTCTAGTTATTAGTTGAAGACATACATTCATAAAAGATTTATACGATGGGCTTGTGTATCCATTGATATGAGTTATTTTATTTATTTCCAGTAAATTAATATTAAATTTTGGGTTTCGTTTTGAAGATTAAAAAATATTCTAGGAGAGGTTAACTTATATTTGAGGATCAAGAATATATTTATTTTGGTGGAACGTTTGTAACGCCCAGAAGGAAGCTTCAGACGCCCCACCACGTATACGTATATATTCGTGATCAGCATCAAATTTTGAAACAATTTAAGCATGGCCGTTTGTCCGCCTGTCGGTCTGGCTATTGTCTGTCCATCTGTTGTGAGCATTCTCCTGGCCGCAAATATGAGGCATTCGGTTTCAAATTTGGCAATTACCCAGTTACAGGTATAGTTACACTTTGCTTGGTACAACACATGCGCATATAAACTTTAAAAATAGAAACAATCAGTCGCGCCCACCCAACGTTGTAGAATATGAAAACTTATTTCTTTGCGTTTTTTTTATGATCACGGTGATGGATATATCGGGGTATATATAATATAACGGTCACGACCGAATATAACTTTCTTACTTGTTCGGTTTTAGAATCAATACGAAAGTACTTTTTATTTCTCATTCTCATCTGTGGTTGGAGATGAGAGGCGCTCAGTAGACCATACTCTTATATTTTAAGATTAAAGAAAATCTATCAACTGGCGAAGGCGAAATCTTCACTTGCCTAATACGAGTGTTTAGTTAGCATACTGGGCTGGTGGAGAGAAAGCTCCCGCTTTGTGAGGGATGAAGGTGAACATATGTGTCGCATTACTTATGTTTGACTTAAATCGATTCAGAAAGTGGCTCGGAATCGTTATAAGAAAAGGCGGATCTATGGCAAGTTCTTCTAAGTATCGCGTACATCTATACAAGCTTAATATGCCCTTGTACCGCAAGCATATACCACGATATATCGAATACTTCGCAGAAGTTCTCACGTGAACCTGAAAAATTTATATAAAAATTCTGCGAAAATATGCCTAAAAGCAAAAAAGAGAAAAAGGAAACGACACAAGCAGTGAACAGCCAAATCCAAAAGGCACGTAAGACTGTTATGCCAATGTATGGTTTTCCGCCCAAAGACTTGGCTGCCCTTAAAAAATATGAACGCTTCGAAGGAATCTCTACTTATTAGGCTCTTTGACATATTAATCAAGGGTCCTTCGTAAACTTTGATTTTGGTTCAAAAATCTTCTACATATTCCTGCGTTTTCAAGGAAATTTCAATAGCAAAACTTTTCATTACCTATAAAGCATTGGCGCGAATGGCGGTAAATTACTGAAACAAATGGGGATTGTAACTGACTTCATATCCGCGACAGTAGTTAAAATGTTGCTAAATCAATAATTACGTAATTTAAGCACTTTCCATGAGTAGCTGGGTAGAAAGAAAGGGATGGAGTGGAAACAGATAAAAAAAAATGTGTGAAGAATTGTTGTGAAAAAAAAGGAGAAAAATTGCAATTCATAAAATTTTTATTTGTAGAATATGGTAAAAAAGCTATAATATAAGCTGTACTGTACTTTACACACTCTGTACATACAGAGGCCAGCAATATTATAGTCACATAGGGGGACACAAGGAAAGACAATTCGAAAGAGACGAATAATTATTATTATTTATTATTCGAATATAAAAAAAATAAACAAATAAATACACATTTTTATTGTTTAATATACAAGATTACAATCCGAATGGGGGTGTCTCCGGTTGACGACGTGAGAAAAAAAGCGCCTAACAAAATGTTCTTTGGACTGATCGTGAAATAATTTTAGTGCCAGGCGACATACAACTAACTCAAATTTCTCAAAAATGCAACCAATGAATTGATGTCCTCACGCCGCCGATGAGCCGATGAGATAGTGAAGCCTATAAGTTGAGATGAACGATGGACCAGTGTTTACAGTTTCTTGAATAAATGGGGGATAAAGGTATTCAATGAGTGACGTTCTGCATAATCGCTGCTCGCTTTATACTGAAGGCAGGAATATTTTTTTAGAGAAATATTCCTTTCTTAGTCACGGTCTTGCCCGTCAACTGATACATCAGTTGACTGTGTAGTGACGCGATAGTAAAATTTGACGAAAGTGATCTCTCTCTTGTTAGAACTGAATGGATTCGCATCCACTTTGACAAGTTGCTCGCTATTGTGCAAACTTCAAGCGATATCGAAATCAAGTTCGAAATGTTCGAAAACTCATTTTAGTTCCCCCTTTGCGCAGTGCACTCATTCTCTCCGTTCTTTTTGTCTTCTCATTTTCATTTTGATTTCCTTTTTTTACAAATAAACAAATTGAAAAAACAATAGAAATGTCTAATGTCTGCAATTTGTATGCGTAACATTTAATGCAATTAAATAATTAAAATGTTTAAATGCTAAAAATACAAATTTAATTAAAATCACCCCCCATATGAAAGCAAACAGAAGTAAGCTGACGTATGAATAATTTGTTGGAAGTGAGAGAAAGGTGAGTGATGTTTATAAGAGCAAAAAACTGTCGGAAAAAAAATAAATAAAACAAAGAATAAAAGTATAAAGCACTATCATATGGACAAAATATCGACAACATTCTTGTAGTATTATCGGTTCAATTGGTAAACAAATCCCATGTCATAGATAAAAAAAAAGAAGGGGAACAAGCCAACAAAAATGTCATTAATTGAAAAAGGCGGACGTTGCAATCAGCCGTTCGTTACATTAGGCGATATTCCGTACACTTTATTGAATGTGGTACTCGTTATTTAAGGATAAAAAATGTTTTAGAAAAATTTATCTGTCTAATGTTTGTCTTAATATATAAATTAACCTCAAACAAAACACTGGCTACTTACTCCCCAGTTTTGAGTTGAACGCCTGCACATATCCACGATAGAAAATCGTCTCAAACGACTTCTTGCTTACGATTAGCGTTCAACAAATCCCGTACTGTTTTATACGAATAGCCAATCGAATTTGTCCAGGTATCTTTTATCAACTGTCGCTCCGCATGCCTTTTAGAAAAGCATCCCTTCAAACCTTATCTTTTTAAAGGAAGCTCCTCATTTTACTAAATCTCGTCACTTTCTCTTGTATCATTTTTTTAGAAATACATTCAAGTCTTACAATTTGTCAAGACGATGCCAACAGCCAACTTATAATCCTGGGTGATCAGTAAATTCGGCTCATCGTTATCAATAGGTTGGCCGATGGAGTCGCGCGTCATTTCATAAGATGATCATTAGTTGACTTATCGGTACAAAACGAATGGTTTAACATAAGGGCCGAGCGTGTTTTTACTGTAGATAAGAAATTCAGATGATATGTAAAATGGGTACTGCTCCAGTGTTAAATCATCACAATATACTCCCAAAAAAGAAATGAACGGAAATTTAATGCCTTTGAGCGAAAAGCTTAAACAAACAAC